CCTCACCCCAATCTTTGTTGTGGTGGTTGCATTAAGTATCTCCTATTAGCAGCCTGCATGAGGCCACTCTCTCTATTCCAGTTAAACCGTCAAACACAGTACTAAGCGTGGGGCTGGGTAGAGCAGGAAGCAGTACTGGGGCCCTGGGCCCCATGAGGTCAAAACCAAGTTCACACATTCAATCAAACACACCAGAAGAATCTTTCAGGACAGTTTCACAACACTAACAACAAAACAACAAACACCCTGTTCTGATATGTTAATCACATGTTCGTTTCTATCTCAGGCTCTGACTTAGTCAGTGTCACTTCACTGGCAGACTTGGGTTTATTTTGGCAAAAGGAACTGCATTTGGGTGTTCCCACAATATCCTGTATGCCGCTGAAAACAATAATCAGACTTGACACATCCAAGGGCCCAAGTCATTACAGGAGAATAAGGGGTGTGCTGGAGACACAGGGCTACTAAGGGTAGGACTACACTGTAATAAAAGACCCGGGGCAGCAAGTCTCAGAGCCCAGGTCAACTGACTTGGGCTCACGCTGAGGGGCTAAAAATAGCTGTCTAGATGTTCCTGCTTGGCTGGGCATGGGAACATCTACACTGGTATGTTTAGCCCTATAGCGGGAGCCCAAGTCAGTTGACCTGGGATCTGAGACTTGGTTCTGGGGAGTTGTTTTTTTGCAGTGTAGACGTACCTTAAGATACCACTAATCATTTGTGGTTGGTGCTCTGAGGAATCAATAAAAATACTGGGGTGTGGGGATGAAAGGTATTGGGGGGAAAAAAGTGGTCTTCAACAAATGTTTGTACAGTGCCTAGCACAATGGAGTCCCAATGTGACTGGGGCCCCTACGTGTGGCCATGATACAAACAATACATAAAATACCACTATGAACAGATGCATGAAACAAGCATAGCCTGCCCTAAGAACTTCTGGCAAGTTCTTACAGTGCAGTTCTGTTCTGAAGACTGACTCTATAAGAACAGTCCCTTCTTACTCAAGGGACCTGCTTTTTGTGCGATTCTGCTGGCTGAAGTCAGTCTGCATTGCTTCAGCCTTGCAGTCAACAAAGCTATAGGGGAGTCAATTGGATTCTATTCTGGCTCATATTTCAAACAGAACCATTAAAGTAAGCTCCAACTGGACTCTATTTTGGCTCTTGCATCAAGCATAATAGCTAGTGAAGCTCCAATCACAGAATCTTTGATTTTCATGATAGCAGCCAACAAGGCCCCCGTATGACTTTCAGATTCCAGGCTGAGTTTGCTGTTAAGAATCTTTGCGCTTGTAAACTGAGCACATTTGATTTGAAAATCATTGACATTCCACCACTCTGGAGCCCACACCACCATTTCTCCAGTCACTTTTCAGAAGAGAACCACACTTTACAGAGACTAAAAACAATAAAACCACTCTGTTAAGAGAGCAAGATTGATTGTTACAATATGCAAACCTTGCTAAGGAGGTGTCCAAAAAAAAAAAAAAAAAAAAAAAAAAAAAGGAACCCGATAGATACATGTTTCGTTTCCTACCACAAAACATCCTCTCCCCCCTTGTTCTCTCCACGCCACCAAAAAAGCCAACCCACACATCAGCAAGGTTCTGCATCTCAACCGGAAATGGATTAACCCCCCCCAGTGGCTTGGGCATAAGGTAGTACGGCTACCAATATATCTCCTTAATCATTTTAGGTCAGGAAAGGATATTAGTCATCAGAAGCAATATAAGTAAACATCTACAAAAGGGTTAAAAATGAAGCAGTGGGTGAATCCTGTTTGCAAGGGCTCCAGAGCTTCCACTTACAGTCAAGTTTGCAAAAACAGTGTTCTTCAAAGAAAATGAATGTCAAGACAGAATTCTTTGGTCTGGAAAATCTCAATGGGTGCATAGAAGGTGACACCAAGGAGAGACAAAAGCAGAACGGAAGTCTGGTGAGAGAAGAAGCCTTTTTCTTGCCCTTTGCAGGATTTCTGTTGCTTCCCAGATTTTGGCCAGGGCTGGAAACATCCACAAACAAAAAAGTTTTTCTTGCAGTATTTCTGGACTAAACTGGGAAAAGTGCATAGAAAGCCATACCCACATATAAAAAAAAATAAAAGTTAAAACCACTCTTCCAGATCCTACAAAGGTTTGGAACAAGGAGTTGGGGAGTAAGTTCCTCAAACTCAGGTGCCTAGGATTAATCTTCTACATCTATAGTCACCTGGATCAAAAGTCACCCTGATTTTCAGACATGCTGAGGACCTGCAACTCTCAGGGAAGTCAGTAGGAGATGCAGATGCTCAGCACCCTTTTTTTGAGGGGAGGGATGGAGAAAGAGGACACTTCTATGTAGGTGACTATATATGCATTTAGAAGCCTAACTCTAAGCAACCACGTTTGACAAACTTTGTCCTGAGTCTATGTTTATCCTACAGGTTGCACTGTTTCTATTTTTTTAGGATTCAGCACTCCCTCTTCTCCTCTGACACCTACTCCCACCATTTAAAAAAAAAAAAAAAAAATCAACTCAGGTTCCCCCGACCCCCCTCTCAGAATTCATCACTAATAAAAACTTGAAGCTGGGACAGTCTCCTGCATCCCCCACCTTGTGTTTATTTTGAGGGACAAAAATATTTGCACTGAGACACCTGAAATATAGGGTGTATCAATCTGTCCCGCAAGTACCATGACCTGGTGGAAGGCAGTCTAGTCCAGACAATGGAGGGTGAATCTTAGTATCCTATGAGCAGCTAGAGCCTATTAGAGGTAAAATGTGCTTTTAAAGAAAGCTTAGGGGCAGTCCTTTGTAAAAACCTTTGTAAAAAGCAAGTGTTTGCAGGACCCGAAGCATCAGTGTTGCAGAACTCCTAAGTTCCGCAGGCCTGAAGCGAAGCCCTCCAGGGGAAGAGCTGCAGAGAAACAGCATTTAGGATTTACACTAACACTTAGCTTCAGCTCTGTAGGAAAGTAGCTTCAGATAGCACAAAACCAGCAGATGAAGTCATTTTTTTGGGAGGGAATTAAAGGAGGGGAGTAAATGAAGAAAGTCAAGGCTGCACTGTATTACACTGCCCCACAATTCCCTCTGAGGCCCTAGCTTACCCTTCTTGCTTTCCATAGGGAGAGAGAGATTTTTAAGTTTAAAATAAAGAAGGAAGAGAGAGTGAGCGTGCAAGAACAGATGCTAAACTATCAACTTTGAAGATACAGCAATTCTTAGAAACCCCAAAATGTCACAGGTAGAATCCAGCACAAATCTCCAGGCGTTTTTAAGTGCAAAACCAGGCAGGCTCTATAGAACTGCAGGTGGCTTTCCTTGGCGAAGCTTTTTAAACCCTCAAAAGGGAAACTCCCCTGGTAAAGGGAACAAATAAGCATGAGGTCACAGATACTGTAAGTTTGGGGGGGCATATAAATAGGACACTCAATCCAAGAGTCCTTATCACTTTAGAGGATAAATTAAAAGTTAAAAAAATGTTAGAAGTCTAGTAGACTCCTCCCAGCTCTTATGCTATTCACTTTTGACCTTTAAATATGATCAGAGAGCAAAAGACTACCTAAAAGTGGAAACTGACCACCTAAAGTCCAGTTTCACTGCCTAGGTCTCATGCACTAGGCCTCTGCCGTTATCTGTGGATTTCCAGCACTTCCGGGCAATGTTTCAATTCCTTCGTGAGCCCTTCTTCCGAAGAAGAGAGCCACCCTTTCCACTGACTTATGAAAGCATTTTCAGGACAATATTTATATGTAGTCTGGGTTTGGTAAATCTTTTAGTACAGGGGTTCTCAGCCTGGGGGAAATCCACTTTCCATATTTCTCGATCAGAGAAGGGTTCTGGTCAGAGAGAAGAGTTCTGGGAAGGTCTCTGGATAGAGAAAAATGAGTACCACTGTGTTAATATATACAGTTATCCTCCTAAAGGGCCTTTATTAAAGGCTCAGAAATCCAAAGTGAGTATGTGTAGCTAATATACCACAGCTAGGAGGTAACAAAGATATGCGTTACAGCAGTGGTTCTCAAACTTTTGTACTGGTGACCCCTTTCACATAGCAAGCCTCTGAGTGCGACCCCCCCCCCATATCCATTAAAAAACACATTTTTATCTATTTAACACCATTATAAATGCTGAAGGCAAAGAGGGGTTTGGGGTGGAGGCTGACAGCTCACAACCTCCCCATGTAATAACCTCGCAATCCCCTGAGGGGTCCCGCCCCCCAGTTTGAGAACCCCTGTGTTACAGAATCAATGGATCACGCAGAGAGGGAAGATATTCCCTTCATTCTTCATGGAATCACACTGTAACCATCAGCCCCGTTCATTATTTGCAATGGAGTTTCCTACCTTCCCAGGCAAACAGATTACCTGCAATACCGTCACAGATAAAACATTAGGAAGGGAGGAAGCTTGTAACAGACTTGAGCTACCTAAAGTGATTGGGTCCATTACATCTCACTGTAGTAGCTGGGCGGGAGGAGGAAGATGGGGAGGGTGATGTCCAGAGGAAGCATCTTTACCCAAGGGACAACAACAACTGCAAATCAAGGAAGCAACTAATAGGTCCAACCCCTTCTCCATCTCCGTGTCCTCTCTCACCCTAAATGCAGCGGCCAAAACTAATAGAGCAAAGGGACTACATGGAGAAAAAAAGTTCTCAAGATGCCCTACCAGGGGAGTCTTTGCCAAGGAAAGGGGTATCAGTTTCTCAGACAGACAAAGCAATAACAGACAAGTTTAACAAACAAAAAACACATTGCCCGTACATTGCCTTTTGTTTTTGCGTATCTGAAGGGGAAAAGAAAAATCAATGAGACTTCAGTAAAAAAAAAAAAAAAAAAAACTCCTCTGTAAAAATTTTAAAAAAAAAATTTTGGATTTTTTTTTGAAGAGTGAAATAATCACCCCACCCCCAAAAGAATCTGACTAGGAACATTAAAAATGGAGATTCAGAACTGCACACTTCGGTCTCGGAAGAAGCCCTCGGCCACTTGTGCTTCTCTGAAGGTCACGGTAATGGAGTTCGCCGTGATGTCTGTCACTGTCACTTCGCTGGGGGACAAGGTGGGGATCCAGGGGAGGCTGCCATCAACTGCATCCACACCTACTGCAGAGGGGGAGGTGGATAAGAGCACGTTAGAAAAAGAATGAGGGCCTAACAGAAGAGGAGCATCCTTGCTGGCTATGGGTGGGTGACATCAACCTGTGCCAAGTTTGCACATGCTCCAAGGTGTCTAACCCCCCCCCACAGAAAGTAAGGGGCAGAGGGAAGAGGTGGGAAGATAATAATGGGACAGTGAAGGGTGAGGGAAAGAAGGGGGAGCGGCAAGAAGAACGTCAGACAGACAGACACACAATCAACTGTTCAGGCTGATACTACAACAGCCCCCAACAGCACCACCATGCTTACACGTCCATCAGCATGTTCATTATACATTTCCCACCCTCTTTCCAAATGGGAATCAAAATATCCCACTTTAGGGGGAGTATCTGGCAACTGGATCTCAGCCCACTTGATCTCCTGGTTAGTGCACGTGTTCACTGTAGTGTAAACTCAACCCCCACCCCAACCAACCAAAACAACAAACAAACAATCAGAACTAATATTTTTCAAGCTCATCCCAGATACCCCATGTTCCCTGGGCCTACGGGGGCCCTAACAAACTGAGGATTTTCCTCCATTGTACCTCCAAATCCAGCCAAGGGAAGGGCTGGATGTGACTCTCTCCAAAGCCCATCAATGCCACTCCTTTGGGGTCCAAAGGGTACAAGAGTTTCCCTCTTTACTCCCTCCCCACCGAGGGGAGGAAGCTAAAAACATCTACTCTCCCCTGGGGCTCCTAATCTCTACCACTCAAAGTGAGGGACCCAAATACCCCCCACTTCCACTTCCCCACAGTGTAAAAAACTCAAGAACAGATTGAACAAACCCCGCACCCAAAGAGAGCCACAAAAATATATGGAGAGGGGAGGGAAACATCCCCTCTCTATTACTTTACCTGTACTGCACCCTGTTGTCCCACCTGGGTATGGAATGTGGACCCCTTAACTGGGCATTTCCTGGCTTCTGTCTCAGATATCTGAGGTGTGTCTACTCTCACCTCGGAAAGAGTCCATTCACCCAGACACTAACCGGAATTCCGAACGTGCACACGTCGAGGGGAGAATAGAAAAATAGTTTTACATTTCTCTAGCACCTTTCATCCTTCAGATCCCAAACTGCTTTACATACTGCACAGTTCGGGATCACATCACCCACCATCAATATGTAGCACGACAGCCATTCTGCATTAGTGGCGCTACAGGGCAGTCGTGGAGGGGGAAGTTGAGTACTTTCTCCAATTGAAACTAGAAGGGAAAGTTTAGATCACCAGAATCTAATTAGCCCCATGGCCCAACCTAATTCTAACTTGGGTAACACCTTGCTCCTACCAGGAGTGCCATGACATTGATTTTACATCTCATCAGGAAAACCGCACCTTCAGAAGCTCAACCTATGCAGGGGTAGTGGTTTGCTACTGACTCTGAAGGATATGACTCCTGAGATGCCATGAGTCCTCCCTGCAGCTCCTGGGGTTGGCCTGGAGGTCTGCCATCCACTTACTGCCCTACTTAGCTTGTGACATTTGATGAAGTTCCAGTGACCTCTGCACCCCACCCTCAAAACAGGTGATTTAGCACAATATTCACGTAAAGGGATTTTGGGTGGAAGAGAGGGAGGGCAGGGTTCCCATTGAGGCATGTGTGCAAATGTCAAAGTGGCACTGCTAGAGGATTATGAGTATGTGAATTTATCCCTTTTAAGGTTCCCTTTATCAGGGTGCGGGGAAGAACTATATGCTGGAACATGACAAGACACAGTTTCTCACTGCAACAGACAGCCATGTCATCTCTCTGGAAAAGCAGATGGGAGGAGAAGCAGCACTAGCTTTCACATGCACTCTGATACTATGATGATGGTCACCAATATAAGAACACATAGGTGGCAACACCACAGAAACAGACCGATAGATTAACCGAGTTATTCATCCAGACAACTTGCAGAGGTGTTTGGGGACAACCTTGCCAATTATAGCCTTTGCACACATTGTAAAGAGCTGACCCAAAACCACACTCCCAGGATGCAGTAGGCAAGGAGGAAGAGTGTGTGTGTCCAGTAAACAAAATCAGAGAGCATCACGCTCATGCCCCTCAATTCACAGTCAAATGGGGTCCCTGGCCTTACCTTCTTTGCTAGCATGCTGCGTCGAATCCCAGTCATTGGGAGTTTGCCTAGTCTCTAGTGCCACTGACTCCTTCAAGAAGAACTCACGCCTGTGGTTACGGCTCTCCAGGCTTGACATGCGTGGAAACTTCTTCCGCGACAGCCGGAGATATTTCTGGTTCTTGCGCTGCTTCCGGAGCGGGAATGGTAGGACACCTCCCCCACTCTTCTCCGATAGCTCTGTCTGTCCTGGCTTGGCCCCTGCCAGATTGCTTCCTCCTCCTCCAAATCGCCGTGATAGAGAGAAACAGAGCTTCTCCTTTCCCTTGTGGGCACTCCTCAGGTCCATACCGTAAAGCCTCTGTGAATGGGAGTGGAGCAGAAAGGCCAGTCATCCCAGAGTATCAGAACTAAAGCACTTGTGTGTTTCAATGCCCTTGCAGGGACAGAACCATGCTAAGAGGAAGGGGGATAACTGTCTACAGGTGCATAAACGCCTAGGGAGGAGAGAGTTGTACAGCAAGGTCACTGAGCAGAGGGAAAGCTTGAGATGAATGCATCAAGTCAACCATCCTAACAGCAAGAGCTATTACTGTACAGCAGGGGTTCTCAAACTCTAGGTCGGGACCCCAAAGTGGATCATGACCCCATTTTAAGGGGGTCGCCAAGGCTGGTGTTGGCCCTGTGCCCCAGCAAGTCTGAAGCCCAAGCCCCATCACCCAGGGCTAAGGTTACATGCCCCCTGCCCAAGGCAGAAGACCTTGGGCTTCAGTTTTAGCCCCCACACCCGGGGCGGTGGGGCTCGGTCTTTGGTACCCCCTCCTAGGGTCATGTAGTAATTTTTCTTGTCAGAAGGGGGTCACGGTGCAATGAAGTTTGAGAACCGCTGCTGTACAGAATAGTCTCCTGAGACAGCCTGGTCAATCCCTGGGCATTGGTCTAGGAGTCAGGAGACCTGGGTTCTAGTCTTGTGTCTGCCACTGATCTTCTAAATGACCATGGATAAGTCACTTCACCCCTCTGTGCCTCCATTTCCCTTCCCATCTTTTGTTTGTCCTCTAAGGTCTCCAGGGAAAGGGTGGTCTCTCACTATGTGATCGTCCAGTGCCTAGCACAACAGGACCATGATCTTGACTGGAGCCTCTTGGCCCTACCATAATAAAAACAAATACAAGTTGGAAGCTTAATTGCTTGGAATGTTTAAAATTGCGAAAACATCCTGGAGAAGAATACCATGGAGAGGTCTGCAAAAGGGATAGGCTAGCTGAGCCAATAAGTCTTTCCTCTCTCTCTCCTTCCTAGGATCACCTCCATGGCACAGCAGTGGGCAGAGACATTATGGTTACTTGTGCAGGGTTGCTAGAACTTTGCTTCCATGTGACTAACAGCTCTGGCATTCCACAGGGCCAGGGCCCAGTTTGAATCCAGTGAGCACACAAACAGGTAGCATCTCTTTTATGGCAGAAATCTAATTGTTTAGGTACTTACATGGCCCTGATTGCCCTGCAGGGCACCTACCTCCATCCCTTCTGCACAGTGGAACCCACTTGCCCTAATCTGATTCCTCCACTGCCACAAGGACCCTCTACAGGCCAGTTCCATCTGGGCCTGAGCATGGTTTAAGTTTTGCTGAAAATAAACATTAACATGGAGGCACAAGTTTCACCGGAGAGCTGTTTACAAGACACAATATCCGAGTGCTGCCCAAACCTCCTCCATCCCTCATGCAGGGATAATCTCCAGCAGAGGGATGCTCTCAGTGCCCTCTCAGAGCCTGAAGCAGCAAAGAAAGGGGGCTTGTGCACATTAGAACAAGCGGTGTTTAACATGCTAGCTGACACACTGTAAAATCCTTGCGTACACAGGGCACACTAGTTTTAACACGTGCTAGCCAGTCGCGCTCAAGTGGCTAGCCAGTCGCGCTCAGGTGGCTAGCCAGTCGCGCTCAGGTGGCTAGCCAGTCGCGCTCAGGTGGCTAGCCAGTCGCGCTCAGGTGGCTAGCCAGTCGCGCTCAGGTGGCTAGCCAGTTTCTACCACTGCTGTAATGTCCACACTGTTACTTTTAGTGTGCTAGCATGAGCCCTGCCAACACAAGTTTGCGTACTCAGTCTGGGAGTGTAGGCACACCCTCAATGGGAACGCCTTGGGTTCATCTCAATCTGCTAAATGGGTTAAAACTGCAGCTTGCCTGTCTACACTAGGATTTTAAAACGTGTTAGCTATTATGTTTAAAACCCACCACCTTTCTTCCTGGTATGGACAAAGTCAGAGGATATACTATTGCAAACAGAAAGTCAGCTTCACCCTGGAAGAGTCATAGATGCAGTAACAAAGGGGCTTAAGGATGGGAGAAGACACGCCAGGAAGAGTGAAAGGTTACCTGTAATAAGAGGCGTTTCGGTTTAGGGCCTCTCTTCCTGTATCCTGATGCACGGTCTCTCTCTTCCCTGCAAGGAAAAAAAACCCATGAGACAAGATGACAAACTACAATACAGAACAACATAGCACAATGCCCAACTAGGGCTTCCACTCTCTGTATCTAGCTAGTTCCCTTAATTCCTTCACCAAACCTCACTGGCCATCATCACGAATGAGGAGAAAACCCCAGAGCTGCTTCTCGTGGGAGTAAAAACCTTGTTAGAAAGGAAACTTCAAAGGCTCAGTTGATCTAGGTTGGGATATGGTGCCTCTAGGTCACCTGTTTATATCCAGCCCAGATGGCAGTGACTGGAAGTTATTCACACTAGCTCTCCAGCAGCTTTTGGGCAATGAGAGGACAAGTGTCCTTCTCACAAAACCACCATGACTGGCACTGACTTCTTTCTTGCCAGTCTCAGCAGAGTCCCAGGGCTGAATGGGCCATGGAGAATGAACCAAACATTCCCACAGGTGGCCACCCTTGATGGCAACTGAGGCGTATTGCCAGGACAGCAGAGATGCTTATGTCATTGCCGCCCATGCTATTCCCATTCTATGCATACAGGACTATTTTAAGTTTTCCTGGGGGTGGGGGGACGGGGACCGAGCCCTCTTACTTCTCTTCATAAGCCACTACCAGGCGAGGATCCAGGATGTGATCCTCCGGCTCCCATGTGCTGTATCTGAAGAAATAAAAATGAATATATTTTAAAAAAGAGACTTCAGTGAAACATCATCTTTGCAAGGGCTGCTACTGGCATTACTGAGGCTCTGGAACCTGCCTCCCATACATAGATCATTCCTCAATGGCAGGTCAGGGACCAGCCACACCACTTTTAGAGCTTTGGGAACTTCCCATCACCCCTTTTCACCTATACATACCCCCCGCCCCAGAATCAGTCTAAACCCTACATCATCCACTCTTTGTAAGAGAATAGAGAGGGCTTCCCACCACAGGCCCCCTCAAAACCTTTCTTAAAGTCAGCAGGAGCATCATAAACTACTCCCACCAATGAAGGCTGAGCAAGTCTGCTCTGCAGTGCTGCTCCCAACTTGGGGAGCAAATCCAGCTCTGCCCCATGGCAGAGCACTAACCACTAAGGCAATGGGCCTGGCTGGGTGGGATTTTCAAGAAAACAGGACACTCGAGATTAATAGATTCCTAAGCAGAAATATGTTTCTTCACCTGTGTTATTAACATATCTCGGATTATTGAAGCTGGAAGGATTAAAACAGCTGAATGGATTTTTCACCACAGATGCTGTTTAATTAAAAAAAAAGACACTTAGATTTGGGGCCTAAACTAAGTTGACTATGAGCCTTCAGACCCTTTTGCTATTTCTTATCCTCCTAACTCCTCCTATATCGGTGACAAGACGCTGATGGACTAGCTTTTATACACCAGTTCTAGATTTGGATAAGAAAAAAAGGGATGCATGTATATTGTTTTCAGCAGCACAGAAGCTATCTAACATAAGCCAGGTGTTGGGGGGGTGGGGGGGAGGACTGGAAATAGTACTTCCGAACTTGGCACCCAGAAAACAGAAGCTAGCCTTGCAGAGCAGAAAGGTCATCAGCCCATCTTCCTCCCTGACTGTTATGCAGCTGAGACAGGAACCAGGGGTTAGGTGAGGTATGTGTGGTATCAGTGAAACATTCTGACTATGGGGAAGTCTTTAAAAACTGCTGAGAAGAGCTAGAACATGGAAGAGCTAAATGCAAGAGAAAAAACAATTCTGGAAGGGTTACTACTCACAAAGGTCATGTTTGACTGGGGCTGGGATGTGGTATCCATCTGGAATGCCCATCCCAACAGGGAGGAGAATATAGCTCTAAAACAAAATGTTCCAGAGTGATTTATTTTCTGGACTAAAAAGGTCTATGACCCATGCAGCGGAGCACACACTCATACATTCCTGAAGGGGGGAGAGAAGTTGTACCAAAAACCACATGCAGGGCAGTGGTGTTTGTACAAACATCTCTGCAGCAGAGCAGCAAGCCAAATTTATTACAGAACGGTCTGGTTTTTGGATGAAGAGGTGTACATTAGGCGTGTGGTTCTGGAACATTCACTCCTGATGCGGAAGAGAGTATCAAGATAGGGTTTCTAGAATCATCCTCAGGAATCTCCCCTAATGTAGATTCCTCAACAAGGGAGAAGGACAGGTATGAAACCCAGGAATTCTAAGATGTACTTCATTCTAGAAGGTTATGGACAGAGCACAGGGTTAAGAACAGACAGGCCTTCACCATTCCCTGTTAACTGACCCTTCCCACCCTTCTCACTCCACCCTCACCAACTCTCCCACATCTTTTCACCCAAGCCTCCTGCAGCAATCTCGGTATCTGCAGACTGCCAAAGTCAAGATGTTATTTGTGCAGAGGAAGGTTCCTTTCTCTCCCTTCCAGAGATTTTGGCATTCGTTTTTTACAGAAGAGGGAGGGAAAAATCAGGCAGAGGATTCCTTTTCTGGTGGCGGAGGAGGAGGGGGATTTGTTACAAAAAACCTGATGGGTGTTTCCTTTCCTCTGCAGCTCAGCTCCCTGCTCACTGCAGTGGCAAAACACTGCATATAAAAAAAAAAAAACATGGTGCAATTTGCACCACACACACACACATACACAGTCCAGGCTGCAGCAGCAGAACTGCAGAGAGAGCACACACTCTGGAAAACACAGATCACGTGAACTTTCCTCCCCCCCTCCCCCTATCTCAAACACAAGTTGTAAACAAGCTTGTGGCTGAGTCAGATCTGTAACCCTTCCAGTCCCTGCCTGCAGCAGCGCAACCCAGAGATTTGATAGGTGTGGCAAATTAATGAGGGAAATTTGAGAAGAGTATGTGGAATGCACAGGAAAGGAGCAAATGCACTACTTGTACCCGACCCTTTACCCCTTTCCATCAACACCACAGTGGGAGTAAATGAATAATGGGCAAGGAGATCAGAAACGGCAAAAAACACACACACAGAGGAAGAGAAAACCAAGATGGGTAGAGGGAGAGGGATGTGCTGGAAGGCTAGGATGTAAACACCTAAGTATGCTGCACACCTCTGCATGTACAGAGACTGGTAGAAGGAAGAGAGTTAACAACTGAAGTATTTAGGTTTCAAGCAATGCTAGCCCTGGAGAGAACAGGTTTCAAAAATGAGATACCAATCAACAGGGTTTGATATTTTTATGTTTTGAGGTGTCATGGCAGCAAAACAAGGAATCTCTCCCCTCTGAGCCAGGAGGCTGTGAGGGTTCAAATGCCCATGCTAGGATTTTGTTTCGCTGCGGATCTCAAGGTCTGGGGGAAAGAAAGGAAGGAAGAAAGAAGGCAAAAGGAGGTAAGTGCTGCACTGTCCTTCAGAAGAGATATTAGACCAAACTCAGTCCACCCATTCCTGCTGGCTAACGATCAAGCAGAAGTGAAATGCTTTCCACAAGTGCAGTCACTGCAGTGGTGCCTAACGGGACAAACACCAATGTTCTGTGCTCCTAGCAGTGCAGACATGCTCCCAACCTGAATGCCTGAATACACAAAGCTGAAGTTAACTCTAAAGTCAGCAGGCCCACAGAAAATGGCCTTGGTGCTAAACTGTACTATAGATATTGGTACTCAAGTGTACAGGGTTAAATTGATCACAGAATTTATAGCCAGGAAGAAAATTTTTCCCTTCCCACACCAACCAGAGAGATAGGGACTGTATACACTTGTGTGCACACACACACACACACACCTGGGAGGTGGGGGTGTGAGACAGGGCATTTGGGGATGTTTCAACTTCTTTTTAGAAGAGAAAAGACAGATGTCCATATGGACTGAGGAGGACTAGTCCATTTAGGCAAGCAATTCATATAGTAATAATTTTACATAATCCCTTTCATCTCACAGCATTTTACAGATTGTTCCCTGCCGAAAAAGTCACTCCCAATTGAAATGCAGCCACTTCTGGGGAAGACTAAAATAACTACTAAAATAATTTAGGAGAGGAACAGAAATATACCCTAACCAATGGAAAATAGTGGGAATCCTCAAAAGGCAACACAGATTCCCTGTGTTGGACTGTGACCAGTAAATCTGAGTCAGTGCCTCTTCTCTCGTGAAGGGAAATCTTTAATGATAAGAGGTAATGCTCACAATTGGTGTCTTATCCAAAAGGAAGCACTTCTAGAGGCAACCCACCCTCTAATCATATGCTGGGGGGTCTTCTCAGTACTGACCTGGAAGGAAGAACACCTCCTACTGAATGTAACACTTAAAACCATAGCACCTGGGTTTCCCTTGGAGTTTTCCTATGTAAGATGGATGGATTGGAAGTAGGCAGCAAGTGGACAGTTTCAGAGGGGAGAGGATAATGGAAAGAAAAGAGAGGCAACTGAGGGATATGGTCCCGTGCTTCAGCCTCACCATGTATTAAGTCAGTCAGGAATATGGGTACATAGAGTGTGTTTGGGGCTGTCTGTCTTTTTTGGAGCAAGGCACAAGAGAACATATGTTAATAACATGGGGAGCAGAAATACAGCCAAAGCCATTACTGACAAGCGGGGGAGGGGGGAAGAGGAGAGAAAATACTTACTTTGGGGGCCATCCTTTCCACTTCACCAGGTATTCTACATTACCCTAGAGAGAGAGGGGGGGAAAAAAATGATAAGCCTTGCAACCCAAAATGGGTCCTACAGGAAGAGGAGAAACTGTGTCAAGAGAATGCCCTTTGGTCTGCACTGGCAACAGTGCGCACTGAAGAGCTTGTTCCCCATCACTACCTTTAAAAAAAAAAAAATTAAGCCTTTTCTTCATTAAACTGAATAATCCATAGGTTTCTCAAGCAAATGTGTGTGTCGTCCTGGTACTCTCCAATCACCCTACTATCAACCAGGGAGCACAGCTCTGCAGGTGCTTCAAAAGTGACCAGTACCAGAAGGCGGAGCCCCAGCAACCCTCCAACAAGCAGCCCACATGTGCACAGCTCCACAACTCATGAGCAACCCTACAACAAGTCCGCATGCATAAACATGATGAGAGGAAAACTCATGCCAGGAATGGAATAAGTGTCTGAGGGGCTAGTTATAAGAAGCCAGAAGAAATACAAAATTTTAGAAGCTATGAAATGCCTCTTTGGCATGTCCCCTTCCAGCTGCTACATGCTTTGCACAAACACTGTCCCCTCCATCCAAGCCACTCCACCTTCTGACCTGAACAAACACCAATTCAAAGCTATCCACTTACTTGTTCACTATATAGGGGGGAGAAGGAAGAAATGGGAGAGTATGGAAATCAATTCAAGAGCCCCGAGGAGCAGGTGTACAACTGATATGATCTTTGAGAAATAATAAATAACAGCATGATTTTGCCCTTATAACTTTTCCTGAAGTGTGGTGTGTACACACATACTTATGGAGGCAGGGCATGGAAAATGTAAAAATTAAGATACACTTAACATACACAATGGATTGTAGGGGGAAGGGAGATCATGCAATTGGTTTCATTTTCTTGGGGGGGGGGGGGGGTTCAGCTTTCAAATATGTGAAAAAATACTGCCTTATAAGCCATTGAAAGCTCTCAAGACATTTCACAGGTGTTTATGGTTAATCCTCATAATAGCCCATGAGGTGGTTAATACCTGCTTCATCCCCATTTTACAGCTGTGAAAACTGAGTCACTAAATTCAAGACCAGCATTTTCAGGAGTGTCCATTGATTTTGGGTGCCCGATTGACAGATCTCGGCATGAATTTCAGAAGTGCTGAGCACCGATAATTCCAATTCAAGTTAATGGGAGCTCAACACCCCTGAAAAAAGTCAGAGCCCCATAGCATCTCACAGCATTCAAAAACAGTACACAAAATTAGTGGCAATTAAAAAAAATGGGCCAAAATAACTTGCCCAAGGTTACCAAAAGAGTCAGTGTCAGAAGTAGAAACCCAGCTCCTTCAATTCCCGCTTCTATCTTTTAAGCACAATGCCGTGCTTTCTCATACAATGATCCCTCCCAGAGTCCCACATCAACATTTCAACATTCATTGAACTATGCCTTATTCAATCACCCCATCATCTACAGAAGTGCCCATTCAAACCACAAGTACAGCTCAGCACCCAAGAATCAAGACGGTGCAAAAATGACTTGTTTAAGGTAGCAGAGGTGATAGGATAAACATGCAGGCATCTCTCCCATTTCCATCAGTGCCTCTCTCCCCACACCCACATTTTTCAAAAAAGAAATGAACCCTTACTGCAAATTAAAATCTCAAGGAATTGAAGATATACGCCACACTTAAAAAGACTTGCACCCACAGGCATGAAGGATCAGGAAAGGGAGGTCAGCAAATTTGGCAAGGTGGCCTCTTCTTGAACAGGCCATTACTCATTTAAGGGGAGGTGGTAAAAGAAAAAGATGACCTAGTTGTCGGAGGTGGAAAAGGGGAAGAAGAACGGGCAGGGATCCTCTTTCCCCTACAACCTCCAATCTAGCTCTTCTTTCTCTCCATTCCTGCAGGGAACAGCATGCAGAGATGCATGTATGGAAATGGTACCTGTCCTTTCTCTGGGAGGTTGGAGGAGTAGGTGATGGTGACCCCCACCATACAGCTCTACTTGTAACATGGTGACAGAAAAACATACCCATGCCCTGCAGCACTGGGGCTTGACGATGATCCCCCTCACGCCCCCTTCCCGCAGCATGGTGCTAGTACCCATCACCACGCCCCCCCTCCCGCATGCAGCATGGGTGGGGGTACATGCTGATGCCCCCATACCCGATGCCTGCAGCATGGGGTGGGAAGTAGATGCCCGTGTCCGTCACACCCCCTACAGCACAGAATATGTACGAGAAGGCACGACAGGGGAGCTGGGCCTCCTGCGCCCCTTCCCTGCAGCGTGGAGCTCTGGAGCCCCCCGCACGGGAGGGCGAGGTGGGAAATAGATGCTGGTGCCCCCCCCTCGCCTCACCTTCCTTATGCGCTTCTTCCTGATATTCTCCACCGCAAACACCTGCTCCCCGATAGCAGAGAGCTCCATGCAGGGGGAAGGAGGAGGCGGCTGCTCCCCGTACCGCTGCGGGGGGACCGGCTGCAAGAAGGCGGCGGGTGCGGTGGTGGCTCCTACTGCTGCTGGTCCCTGTCTTACTCACGCTCACACACCCCCTCGCGCTCAATCACGCCGCCGACAACATTCCATTTTAGAATCTGCGCAACATTTTCCCAGGCGCGCGCGAGCCCCCCACCCCCTTCCGCGGGCGCGCGGGCGCGCGCCTGGCCAGGTCCCTCCTCCCGCCAAGCGGATCGTGAGCGTGAGATATATCCCCGGCCTTCGCTCGCCGTTCCCGACGGGTCTCTATTTGGCGCTGCCTAGACGGCTAAGGTTGAAGGGTGGGGCCTAGACCAGTTTTCTCTGGACAGCCCGTCGAGCCCGGAGCGCCTTTACTCCCAACCTCTGTAGGAGGAGCTGAGTGAGCGAGAGGCATTGGGCTCCTCGCTGCCATGGGTTCTAATCCCAACGGTACCCCCTTCTAGGAGACAAACAGCCCTTGACTGGAGTAGCCTGAGGGGCAGATGCAGTGTTTTCCTTTCATAACTGGGAGGAGAAGGAGGTGGTCTCACCCCTGTCTTTCCCCTCCAGCAGTTCTCATTCCCTGTGAAAGCCTGAGAGCAACATTGCTGAGCTCTGTGGGGTTTAGAGCAGGGTAGGGTTTTTTGCTATTTAAGAACAGACCTTAAATGAGGAAATGCAGTGCAGTCCGTGGATAGTGCACTGGACTGGGAGCCAGGAGACCTGGGCTCTGTTCCCAGCTCTGCCCCGATGAGCATGTGGAAGTAATGCTTTCTACCATCTCCAGTGGGCTAAGAGACTCATTCCATCCTGGCGCACAATGATCTGACCTCAGATGTTCAGGCTTTTGTCACCTCTCAGTTGGGCTACAATAATGTGATGTAGCTGGGCATGAAGCCTTCAGCTCTCAGGAAACTCCAACTAGTATAGAACATTGCAGTGCATCACCTCAGCAACACAGGCAACTGTGAGCACATCACAACTGTCCCCTGCTCTCTACCCTGGCTTTTCAGAGAATATCAAGTTGAAGGTCTCAGAATTTATCTTCAAAGTGTTCCATGGCCTGTGCCCAGGATATCTAGAAGACAATCTAAAGATACAGGATGAAGACCACGGTTGACAACTTTGCTTCTCTGGCACTATGGAATCTCTACCACAAGGGTAAAGTTTGTCTGTGCAAGAGACAGAGTCAGTCCAAGAATGTGAAATGAACTCTGAGGGCCATCACAAACCTCATCACCTTCTGCTCAAAGGCCAAGGTGCATTTCTTTGACCTTACCTTCTGTAATATAAACACATAGCTGTGTGTGTGTGCGCGCGTGCGCACGCACCGGCAGCTCCCCCCACTTCCCCCAGCACCTTCCGACCACTGGTGGGCCCAGCGGATCAGCGTCTCCCTCTCCCTTCCAGTGCTTCTTGCCCACTGCGGACAGCTGTTTGGAGGCTGGGGGACTCGGCACTCTCGGGGAAGGGGGCAGAACTGGGCGGGAAGAGGAAGGGTGTGGGTGGAGCGGGTTTGGGGGAAGGGGTGGAGTGGGAACAGGGCCTGGGGTGGAGCCGGGGGTCAAGCACCCCCCGGCACTTTGAAAGGTCGGCACCTGCCGTATGTTACTATTTAAAAAACCCTTCCAAAACATTCCACAGGACACACTTCTCCCCCCAGGGAAAGGATGAGAGAACAACCACCATATGACAAATGTTAGTAATGTGCTACTGGAAGGGGCTCAGATACTACAGTTTTGAGCGCAGTATAAAATGTATGTAGAATAGAATAGACCTGGTGTGTGATTTTAGGCAAGTCACTTCTTCTGTTTGTGGTGCTATTTCTGTAGTAGGAGGATATAAACATGCAGAGCCATGCTTTAAGCAGCAAATGGAGAATTCCCTAACCAGGAAGTTCCCCCACTTATTAAGATCCCTGCTTCTACACATCCTGGTCCCCTCTGGTAACTGTGGAGGACCAGGAACTCTATAAGATTAAAACCTAAATTATAAACCAATGTGTATACACACAGCAGTTCAAAATAAACTTCAGTTCTTTAAAACTATTTACACTTCTATGTTCCCCTTATCAATTGCATTTAAATAGTCTTGAACAGTATTCTAAAGATCAGGTCTTTGAGGGGGTTTTGATCAGTCTTCCAGATATGTTCTCACTACTGTTGAGTTTGTGCATGGAGTTCCCTGTGGAGGGGGCTCACTTCCTGACAAAGTACCAGCAGGCATAGGCACTGACTCTGTGGGTGCTCTGGGGCTGGAGCACCCACAGGTAAAAAATGGTGGGTGCTGGGGGAGGGGGAGCAGGGGCAGGAAGAGGTGGGGTGGGGCCTTGGGGGAAGGGGTGGAGTGGGGGCAGGGCCTGGGGCAGAGCCAGGGGTCAAGCACCCCCCAGCACTTTGGAAAGTCGGCACCTGTGCTAGCAGGTCCCAGATCCTCTCTTAATTGGGTTGCGAAATACTGAAAATGAACCAACTTCCTCCAGAGAAATCCTTTTGGAGTTTTCACTAGTTGGAATGTGGGCGATTGAGAAGTTCAGAACAGTTCCAGATGTCTGAGAGCTTTCGAGCCAAACTTTGTTCCCTGGCTCGAAAGGTAGTGCTTTTGTTCTGTGCTGAACATTAATGTTTTCTTGCTGCCAAATTTTTATTTTGGCATCCTATTTTCAAAATTCCTGCAGGTTGGTCTACTTAGGTTTAAGTTGTATTTGTGCCACAGATAAAGGCATCCTTAGTCATCTTCCCATGAGAAATTCTGCTGGAGATAGTCTTGATGCAAGTGGTGTTGACTGATATGCCAGGAATGCTTTATATGGGTCCACTGATTTTCAGTGGCAGATTATCCAATGGGCCCACAAGGCCTGTGCCCAGGGCCCCTGGCCAATTGGGGGGTCCTGGAAAAATGGGCACCCCAGCAGAAATCCACTGTGGGGTGCCGGAAGACCAGAGAACTGGTTGAAGCTGTGTGGCATGCAGGAAAACCCCAGTGCCCCAACCTGGGTTCCCGGCAGAAGTGCAGGACAGGTGGGGTGGGGGAAGCCCCAGCACTCCGACCCTGGTCCCCAGCAGAAGCATGGGGTGGCGGGGGAAGCTCCATCGCCCAGGCCCCGGATTTACTACATGCATTTTGTTGTGGCTTCCCCAAATACAGATATTTTGACCATTAAGGAGCTCTTTTAAGGGTTTTTTTAGATGAGCTAAATCTGGTAAGAATTTTCCAAAATGACTAATCATGCCCAGGAATCATCTTATAGCAAAAACGTCTTTGGGTTCAGGTAAGGTGAGTAATGCCTTCAGTTTGTTTGAATTCAGCTGAATTCCATGTACTAATGATGTGTCATATCTGCTCCTTTCCATGTTCACATTTCTCATTTCAGAGTGAGGCCAGCTTGTTGGACGCATCTCAAAACTGCATGTAGTCGCTCATCATGTTCATTTTTATCTCTGCCATATACTAACCCATCATCTGCATGGCAAAGGGTGCCAGGCAAACCTGACATGATCTGACAGATTTTCTTTTGGAAATGTTCTAGTGCTGAAGATATGCCAAAAGGAAGATGACCGAAACAGTACCTTTCAAATGGGATGATGAATGTATTAATTCTTAGCAAGGGGGATTTGCCAGAAGCCTGCTGTAGCATCTAACTTTGAGAAGACTTTGGCTTCTATAACTGAGCTAATTTCTGGTTAACTGAATGAAGCATGTATCTCACTCTGCACATGCTTTTATTAATTTGTGTGAGTTCCACACAAATCTGGATTTTGTCATTGGGCTTTGGTACTACAATCATCCCTGGACTCCAGTCAATGGGTTCTTCTATCTGGAAAATAAACCCTATATGTTCCATTCTCTTTCATTCTTCTTTAACTTTCCCTAACAAGAGTTTAGCAATGTGACCTGGAGCTTTGAGAGCAAAGGGAGTTGTTGATGGCATCAATTTTATTTGGTACTCCCCTGACAGCTTCCCGAGCCTTGTGAAGATGTGTGGATACATCTCCTGAATAGTTTGCTTTCTGCCATTAATGCATTCCAGTTTCTCTACTAGGTGTTGTCCTTGTATTGCTGGCAATCCTAGTAGGGGAATTGTCAGTCCATGTATTACATATATTTGTTGAAGAACTTTCTGTTCTTTCTCCAGTTTCCCAAGGAACTGGCCACAGATATCCAATGCAGTGTCACTAGCCCCATGGAGAATCTTATTTTGTCTTTGTTGATCCCCATCCCTGGATCAATTATAATCTTCTTTTGGAATTGCAGTGACTGCTGCCCCAGTATCAATTTTAAATTTAAGGTTTTGGCCATTTAGATTCATGCTTGCATAACAAAGTTTGTATGTTCGGTTGAGGATATCGCCCCTAGAAGTATGGACTCATTGTCATCTGATGATAACACTCCCTTTTGGATTGTTCCTCTGCTCCTGGTGACCTGCATGCTATTGCAAAATGTCCCATTTTATGGCATTTCCTACGTTCTGCCTCTTTACACTGTTGCCATCTGTGGCTTGGTGTCTTGCCACATCTTCCACAGCTTTTCCAATCTTCCCTCCTATTAAGGTTTTTTGGTTTCCCACTCTCTAATTGTGCACTGTTCTTATGTTTTAATTTGGTCTGATTGCTGCTTTCACATTTGTGCCTTTTCTCTTTACTGTGTTAATGTTGTCTGATGCAGTCTCCCCTGTGCTGCTAGCATGTAAGTCACTTTGCTGTTGCTTTATGGTTTCTTGTATTCTCATTTTTGCTATATGTAAGCAGGGGAATAGTCCCGCTATTGTGGGGAACTTTCCTGGCGTATAAATTACCCCGGTGAAATGGGCTAGCGAAAGGATCTGAGTCCTCGTTCCCACTTCCTTTACCCAGAGGCCTGCCTGACCTCAAGGGCTCCCCTTCCACTTTCCTGTGTAGCAGAGTCCTTGTAACCCCAAGGCTGGGCCCAGGATTCCTGGGAGGCTCAACCCCCAACCTTGCCATGGTCACTTAGGACAGGGGCTAGGGTGTCCCCACTCTGGAACAGTGTTCCCTCTAATTTTTCCCACCCATGTGTGGAATTAATTTTGTTATGTGCACCAATATGGATGTGTGGTGGGGCTGGGGATGAGGGGCTCAGGGCTGGGACAGAGGGTTGAGGTGCAGGGGAGGGGTGCAGGCTCTGGGGTGGGGCTGGGG